CCCATCATACAGCGAATACAGCTCACATAATACAGTACACATACTCACAGTGAATATAGCACACCCATCATACAGTGAATACAGCTCACAAATTCACAGCTCACACACCCATAGTGAATATAGCACACTCCCATCATACTGTGAATACAGCTCACACACTCACAGTGAATATAGCACACTCCCATCATACTGTGAATACAGCTCACACACTCACAGTGAATACAGCACACACCCATCATACAGTGAATACAGCTCACAAATTCACAGCTCACACACTCACAGTGAATACAGCACACACATTAACACACTTAGAGCTTCACTGAAACATACAATTTGAGCACACACACCTAAACATTTGCACAAAACTGTAGTACAGTATATACACTCATAGTTAATGCATTATACTCATAATGCATTACATAGTCTCAGTTAACACAGTATGCACAATACTGTATACACAATTACAGTTAATACAGTAAACATATAAGACAGAACTCACAGTTAATACAGTAAATGCATAAAAGAGTATACACATAATACAGCGTACACACATCATATAGCACACCCACAACACACACTCAGTTAATACTGAGCACACACACAAGACAGCACAAAGCCACAGTTAAAACAGTGCACGCTCACAGTTACAGGATCAGCAACGTGTGAACCCCAGAGATCAATATGGACGTTTCTGCTTTACCATGACAGCCTTTTTGAATCAAAACCAGTCTTTACGTAGATACCTAGTGGGGTTTTACGTGACGTGATTTACCGTATCCTACACCAAAACGAAGCAGAAGTTCAACTATAAGCAGAGCGCAGCTGTCATGATCATCCCCACCGGAGCAGGGCGAGCTAGCACAAACACTGCAGGCGGCCACGCCTCTCCTCACCCGCCAGGCAGCGCCGGTTGCCGTGATTACACGATCCAACAGGAAGCCTACCCCACCTGCGCTTCATTTATGACCGCTTATACTTACTTTATTTCTGCCTTGGCAGGTCTTTGGGCTGTGTTGTAAAAGAGCTTGGGTGGAGCATCCTCGAGCTCTCTACTCTCCAGCCTCGGATTCTCCTTTGACGCGACCTCGTCTCCTGAAATTTCCCTTGTACCCCTGAGCTGGGAATTATTCAGCTACGAACCTGGCTTGCTTGCCCCCACGCTGCTTTTGGGTTGACCTTTTGTGCTTTTACTCAATGTCACCCATCTTTAAACCCTGCTTGCTACGACTACAGATTGGGATGGTGATAGCCTACAGCTTGCCAGGTACCACACTCATCTGCGCCTGCTCACAGACCAGGGTTACTCACACGAACCACTGCCAACTGCTTACTTCTTCGTGCAGTGGTGTTACACAGGGGACGTGAAAAAGAAAGTGGATCCCTACTATCATTAGCTCAATCAAGGGAAAAATGAGAATCAGGTGTTCGCACAATGACGTAGATCTTAGGGGCTGAGTTTCAGAGGCCCCACCCTATGCAAAGATCAGAAATGTGGTGAAGAGCCAACTCACCACATGGACCACATGGTGTGTGGCAACAGGTCATAACAAAATCTAAGGTCACTTCCAATGATCTCGGAAGAGGAATTATTGATGCTCATCAGTCAGGAAAGGGTTACAAATCCTGACGGATGAAAAGCTGATGAAAGATCAAGACTGATGAAAGTTCAAGACCAGAGCCACTCTACCCTGGGGTAGTCATCCAACCCAATTCTCCAAACCAAAGAATCATCACAATGTTTGATAACACCCATAATGTTGGGGTGTCTTTCACCCCCGACTTACCACTGCTGTTTTCAAGTCCTGGTCCGTGTTCACTGCCTTGTCGTCTGTCCAGGGCTCTGTCTGCACATAAAAACACTGTCAGCGGACTGTTGCTCTCTTTTATCCCAAGACCCGCCTGCATCCACCTGTTCCTTTCCATAGCCTCCACTGTCTCCAAGCCCTGTCCAATGTTTGCTGGCAACTCCCATGTACAAGAGGTGACCTGACAGGGATCAG